TTGCGATTGTGAAATTCGTAAATCGTAAACAATTTACACAAAACGGTCTTGACACAGTCAAGAGGGGAGATTATTGAAATGCAGGCGTACCTGATCGAACCATTGCAGTCATCAAAACGTTTCAAATTCTAAAATTACTAATGATCTTCGAGAATACTCTTTCGTTAAAATTTCTTAGTTATTTTATACAATTTTTATTGATCATTTTAATTCCCAGTGATAAGGTTATCCGTGTGACTCCTGAAGTGGAGGCTCATCTTGCATTTTTGCGAGGACTGGAAAAACGTAGCGACATCAAGGTGAACACAGACTAGGTAGCTAATAGCGGCGCTAAACCGCTGATTAATTAAAAGACTTCTCCTTGACTGTTTCTAAACGTAAAGGATAAAGGTTAATCGAGGCGCCTAACATATGGACGACAAGATACAAGAAACTTTCTGTGGTTATGTTTCCATATCATTCTTTTCCATCTTCGGCCAAAATGACGTGCAAAGAGCGCGGATTTACACATGAAAAAAAAAAACGGGCTTTTTGGTGAAAAGCCATAATTTTCAGCTGGTGTTTAAGGCATTGTTCAGAAATGGCGAGGAAAGTTTGATGTGCATGATAAGCTTCTCTGTGCTGTAGGAGATTCCAATTGTCATCAGTAACCAATAAAACAACCCTTTTGATTGGTCTACGAGTACAAGACTGAGGATGAGTACGATTTTCAAATTTCACACCAGTGACGTTTCCAGAGCCCTCGCTCTACAAGTTGCCGTAAGGTAGAGAGGGTAGTTCATGGGCTGAGATGGGTATGTGACGTGATAATGTCAAGCCTGAAAAACTAGAATCCAAAAATTGTCCTTGTACTCGATTTCGCGCTCATACTCAAATGTAGTGTTGCCATGAACTGCTTATATGGGTAGAAAGAATAGAAACAGTTAATTCAACTGGCAACAAAAGCTGGCGTCACTGATATCTTCGTAATAGCCACAATGCAATTACTCGAAGTAACCTTTATCCCGGCCTTAATCTGAATTTCAGCAGGTAATGTGTTTCTAAATACTTCTCGTTTCGCAACTTTAAAGATTGACTTTTGGAAAGAACCTAGTCATCTTTTCCAAGCAGTAGACATTGGGGTTTCGGAAGAAGATTTCATTACTCTGTCATCCCTTCTGGAAGCTGATGGTATCGAGTACAAAGTCCAAATTGATGACGTGCAGAAACTGATCGAGGGGGAACTGCAAACTGTCGGAGCGAGAGGATTCAGTCAAAGTTGGCATAATCAGTATCACGACCTTGATGAGGTATGATTATAAGGAGTGATATGATTGGTAGATAAGAGATACCAGTAATGATGACGTAAAACCTTTGTGTTCGAATCACAAATCGTACACGAATTTATTCCTCTATGCTGTTGACGCCTTTTCCTCTATGCTGTTGACGCCTTTTTAAATCATGTTTTTCTTTTTTGAATTCACCTAAACATACTCTTTCGAAATCATGCGGTAGTTTAGTGACAATGTGAAAATTCAATTTTGCTGTTAGTTTGATGACGTCATTTTTTCTGCCAGAACCCGTTGAAATCAAATAACAAAAAACGCACAATTATTTGGATTTGAGAATTGTCTATCATGTAACAAAGTTTTTAAATCTCTGTCGGTTTAAAAACATAAAGCATAGTTTCCTTTTTGGTGAAAGCTGACCCAACGTGGTCCGTCTGTTTTTCGCTCCCTCTGTCCGTCTGCCTACCTGTCTAATTCAGCGTTTTTTACAGATTCGCTTAAAACTGATCCAGGTTCAATCCTCCTACGAACACATGACTGAGACTATAACCCTTGGCAGGTCTCACGAGAA